ACGCTTAAGATGACAAGATTGAGACAAGCCAGTTGCTGTACATTTGTATATATCTGTCTAATATAGTTTGATGAGTTGTAGTATAATCTGATCAGACTCATCATTTAAGGAGTACGGTACTATGAGTACATCTTTGAACTGTTTGAAAGATTCTATTAAGCGGTAACGTTGAATGAGGATGTTCTTTGATGTTTCCGACTTGAACTCAATGATGATCAAATTTTTAGTAGAAAAAGGTGCCGAAAGCTTCAAAGTATTATTCATTATGATCTTTATCAGACTTGTTGTAGAACATTCATAAAGCATCCTTACAACCTCGGATTGGGGTTGACTATTGAAGACATGAGGAACACACTCTCATTTCCGGTTATGTTCACTCCATGCTTATTGAAGATGTGTTTTAGAGATTCCTAACTCTGTGAAATCATCATACAGTATGCAAATTTTGTTTTGTCTGCTCTCCGTTTCTACGAAGTGTTGAAGCTCTTGTTTCGTGAGTCAGAACTTCATTTTGTTTTCTGTATCAAGGTTGAAGACAAGATTCAGGAAATATTATTTTAAAACTTTTATTTATTTTTGTAAAACATGTAGCCAAAATGTAGCTTCAAACAAAACGATTTGATAAGAGAGGAGTATTAGAAGCCGATGATGACAACGGGGGTAACATAACTCCATAAAACTTCTCTTGAGCATCAAGCTCATTTCCAAATTGCTGTTCTAGCGTCTAAAATTATTATTAATATAAACAGAAATTTGCTGCATATTACATACCGTTTTTCTTGAAACAAGCTCAGCTTCCCATTGTTCCTTCATTTCTACATATTTCCTTTCATGTTCACCCATTGTTACTTGTTCTTTCTCAAGCAATTGTTTCCTCTTCTCATTTTGCATCATTTCTAACTCCGATGACTGAGAAATTGCGATAATATATAAAGAATATTTTCACTGAACCAACCGTTGTATGCTGAAGCTTCTTCAATGCACTCAATTTCTTATTACATTTAATATCGTATTCTTCCAATGTTATTTTGATTCGATTGGATTCCGTCTCTTCAAACCTTCGGAGCTTTTCAACTAACTCGTCTTGTGTTAGATTCTAAATGATATTTCACTGTTATTCTGACTGATATCCTAACAAATTAACCTGTGATCCTATTTTAAGACTCTCTTTAAACATAATACTGCGCGTTTTCGCTTCTTGACGTAGAACTTTAGGCAACTTCTTGCGATCTGCTTGTAATGCTCTGATCATTTCTGTTTCTTCTTCCTAATTATGACATTATCGAGGTGAAAAATTCGAAAGTGACTTACGTGTTGAATTTTTTGTACATGATTAAGTTCTTGCTGATGTCGAACCAGCATTTGTGATCTCAGAAGAAGATACTCATCCTTAAGTAAACGACGATGCAATATGAACCTGAAATTAATCCTCGAATGAATGTATGGTCTTTAAACACTACTTTTCTCCCATTTGTTTGGCTTCCAAATCCCAATCACTGTTTTCGCGAGAACGTAACAATAAATGACGAGATACGAGGAAATTTCTCTCCAATTGAGCTATGGCTTCCTGTATAGAAAGTCAATAGAATCGTATTGGTACTTCAACTAACTTTGTGTTTCTGTGCCAACCTCGCTAGAGCTGCTTCAGAACTTTTCTGAGTGTGCAATACAAACTCAGCTTCTTTCATTCTGCATTCGTGTTCCAGGCAGTCTTGCTTCACTTTCATGATTTCCTTTCTTTGAGCACGAGGTAAGAGATCAACTTCTTGCTTCGCAAATTTCTTTTCTAACTTCAGCCGTTCCCGGAAACATTTCAAATCTTTTTCCTAAGTTTTACCATTACAAAAACAGGATTTTTCATCACTCTTACTCTATCAGACTTGAGTTTCTTCTGAACTTGACGCATCTCTTCTTCTTGTGCCTTTTCTGCTTCTTCCATTTCTTTTTTTTGCTTTCGCTCTAAGCTCTCCATATCAAAATCGTATTGTTTCAGCAACGCCTATTCGGAAGTTCAAAAAAACAAACTCATTCAGAAACTTACAGCTTTCTCGCTCTGAAACTTCTTGTCCTGTTGCTCAGCTAATAAAACTGCCTCTGACTGCAATTCTTGCTTTTGTCTTGCTTCCTCTCTCTGTATACGGCGCAGATCTTGTAACTGTTGCTTCCTTGAACAAATTCATGGATAAAAGGATTCACGGTGTTTTTTTTTACTTCAATTGAAGATCTTGTTTAGCTCCAAGAATGTGTACAGTTGTCGATGTTACTTGCATTCCATCAATCATATATACGCGAGTTTTCTTAGTAACCGTTTTACGGTGTTGATTTCCACGACCTCCGATACGGGGCTCTCCAGGTTGTTTCTAGAAAATCAGTAAATAGTATTAACACTCTGAATTAACTAACCATTATAGGAGGAAGGATTCCTGCATTGTTCTTGATGTAGTCTGAAGAATATACAAGATCTTCGAGAACTTTTCTAGTGCACTTACTTTCTTTCATGCTTTCCTCATAATCGACTGGAGGCTCAGGTGGTGCTGCCGACACTCCTTGACTCGTTTTTTCATCGAACTTTAAAAATTTAAGTTTATAAAATATCAATCTTAACTTTCTCACATATTCATTATTCCTCCTCTGCCCGTTCCCTTCTTCTTTTGTGGGCTTTCGGAGCACATCAGCAGTGGGAGAATGATCACCCTTATCCATAGGAGAAGCACTTCGCAAATCCGAACCATTCTCTTTTGTCACGGACAGCTTGGAATCCGCACTCAGAGCAGCATTAAGATCATCCAGTATCTTCATTTCTGCTCCCTGTGACTGTTGGTTATTTCCGTTTTGTTGAACAATAGTAGGAGAGTTCAAGTTCGATGTGTCCAATCTCTTAGATGATACATTTGAGTCTTCACCCAAAGCATCGTTCAGATCATCTAATATATGCAGAGCTTGAGTCTGAGGACTAACAATGGGTTCAGGATCCTGAACAAATTTGATATAAAAAACTTTTGCACATGCAATTTTCTGACCGAGCTAGAGGAATCATCAAGAACAAGTGATAGTTTCAATTTGTTGGAACTTTCGTTGAGACTGCTACTGGAAACGTTTTCAATTTCTGTTAATGTCACTAAATTCAATTTGTACGACATAAAGTCGGAAGCAAATCAAACCATCTTTACTGGGTTTCTCTGGAGGAGGAGGAGCAGGTGCATTCTTTTTCGAGTGATTTTCTTCAATCGGATGCAAATCAGGAGTGAATACGATTTCACCTGTTTTTATAATGTTTTGTGGTAAAGTATGTCTAAACGTACTTCGATCTTCAGAATCATGAAGACTTCCCTCAGAGCTAGCGTGTTCATCGACTTCAATTATTTCTTCTTGAACCTCAGCGTTCACTTCAGCTAACAAGTTTTGAATTGGTTTCATGTCTTGTACTTTTTGCAAGAAAGGATGCTATAAGACAATGTCACATGAGTTATTACCCTTTAAACTCACTGATTGCAAGGCCTTGGCGTCCAGACGCTCATTTGGATTCTTTTTCAAACATTTTGTAAGAAAGTCAGAAAAATCGGCACTAAACGAATCAGCCTTTTCTAATGTAGGAGGTTCTGATTTTTGAACTTTGATTAAAACTCTCATAGGTGACAGCTGAATAATTAGAATTAAGAATGAGAAAGAAAGAAATCTCATGAAATACATTTGAATGAGGAGGCTCCATCTGAGCCATTTCTATTAATGTAATACCGAATGACCAAATATCAGATACGGTTGAGTAGGGTTGGTCTTTAAATGTTTCACACATCATAACTTCTGGCGCCATCCTGCAATATTTCATTAATGAATAAGAATTATAAAGCATGCAGAAACCAGTAAGGAGTTCCAATGAAAGTATCCCGCTTTTCATTTTCGTGTTTAAGTTTGGCACTGACTCCAAAATCAGCTGAAGAAAACATGTCAAAATCATATAATTTGATAAACGAACCTAATTTTATCACAGCATCATGCGTTATTAATATATTTCCCGCTTTAAGATCACGATGAATAACTAAGTTATCATGCAAAAATATCAAAGCATTATTAACAGATCTAAAAAGAATAAATATTGTATTTAGAAATAATAATGTTAATTACTTGGCAATACAACGAATTTGAGGTTCAGTAAGAGGTTTCTCCAGCTCTATCATGATACCATCAACAGCTCCACCAGCACAAAATTCCAACATCATCTACGTATATATTACAGGTTAAATATTATATTATATAATTACTTACGTGTAATTTATTTTCTATAAAATATGCAGCATACAATTCAACGACATTGGGATGATGACATGCAGTTAGAATCTCTATTTCGATAAGAAAATCTTCCAATACTTCTCCTTCTTGTACTTCTATAGCCTATAATTTAAGAAAGGTTGAAGGTTGAAATGATTGTTAATGATTACTTTCGCAGCAGCTAACAACTTCTTGTCACTCTTAGAAGATACTTTATGCACTTTACCGAATGCTCCATCACCTAGCTCACTTATAATTTGCCATGAGTCTGATGGATTGATGTTCACCTGAGAGAGTTCAATTACATCTTATAATATGAGGTTAAAGATACATACCTGAATAATAGGCGGAAGTTTACGTTTTGAATCATCCGAACCGGATGTTCGAAATATATTAATAACTTTATCAAAAAAGGGCATTATACCCTATGATTACATAAAGCACCGAGTTGAAACAGTTTGCTGTAAAATGAACAAATGAAGTAAACGAAAGGTATGATTCAACATATATATTCAAAAACATCATAATCGAAACAAATAATTGGATGACTCATGACTTAAAAATGGCCTCACAAGGAAAGAGATTCTTGCGCTAACGTGTTCAAACTGTGTAAACAGCGTACAAAAATTCGCAATGTAGCACGTGTTGCTAATGAATCCAATACAGTATTATTAAATCAAATCAATATAGTGAAATCCATATCAACAACTCTTTAACGTATTACCTTTTATAATATTAATTAATTAATTAAAATGTATTCAAGTATATAATTATATGAAAGTAGTATACTAATCAATAATCATATATTACGTTATAGATTATTGATTACTTTAGTAGATTAATCATTGAACTAACTGATACTGATAAACGTATAATGAATGTTCAAGTAAAGAAATTTAACAAATTTCTATATAAGGATAAAGAGAGGAGGGGGGGCGTCATCGTGTTCTTATAATAATGTGCTAGGTCAACTTTTGTATTTGCATATCAAGTGACCTCAAAATTCTGTCATATTCGAAAAATAGTCATACAATAGATGGTAGATAGAGAGAGAGATCAGACAACTGGAACAAAACGAATTGAACTTTCTGATTTCATTTTCTTTCCTTTTTTTTTTGTCAAACACAAAAAAAAAAGAAAAGAAAAGAAAAGGATAAAATGAGAGAGAGAAAGAGAGATGAAAGGACAGAAATGTAATATATGAATGTGTATGAACAATTGATTATGAATATTTGAAGTAACAATAGAACTTTCTATTCTATATATTTTAAAATAGAATTAAAATGTAAATTGAATTCAATACTACTACTTATCATATCCAACCATATATAGTATATACTTGAATGTATATGTGATATGTGAGAATATTGGATAGAATATCAATGTTTCGGAGCAATAAACAGTATAAAAGAGAAAAAAGAATAGATAGGAACAATAATCAAAAATGAAATATGATGAAATGATAGATAAGACTACATTCATCACGAATATTGTCTAAGGAATTTCTCTATCTGTTTATTGCTTTCTAATCATAACCCTATTGCATGCGGTTCATATGTTTTTCATCTCATCTTTAGTCATACCAATACATACTCTCTCATCTGTCATCATTGATTCATCCGAATATATTTAATTAATTATATATATATAACTATATATATATACAATTATATAATTATAATAATCAATGATGATTAAGAGTAGTATGAATTTTCTTTTTTTTTATTTTTATTGTTGAAAAGAAGAAAATAAATTGTAAAAAAATGATTTATACAAACACACAATTCATATTTACATATAGTAAATACAATATATAAACATATAACCTTCTTTTTCTTTTTTTGGAATATTATTACAAACAAGAATATAATCATTTCAAGCTTTACCTATTTGAAATGAAAACATAAATTGAGATCATATGGCTTTACATCGGGATGGGTGGGATGAGAGGGAAGAGGGTAAATTGAAAATAATCAATTGTTCATCTATTCAATAAGACTATTCTTCTTGATACAGTTCTTCATTTAGTAGCACCAGCATATCACTATTGTATAATACAATTTAGATATAGTTATCCCTGTAATTAATTATATTAACTATATGTACACATAGATGATTATACCTAGGATGAATTGTTGGAGGAATTCGTGGAGCATTCGGATAGTTATTCATATGAATTGCTTCTTCATATGATGGAAGCTCACTTTCTTGCGTTTGAATAACTTCTTCTATGGCAGCCTATGATTATGTTTGCTTTTTGAATGTTACACTTTGGATTATTGAACCTGCTGTTCTTGAATCAGCATGTTAAGCCGAGTAGCTGGTTCGTTTGCTGCACGTGAGATAGCTGCAGCAATAATAGCCTAAAATAAATAGGAATATACAAATGAAGAAAGTATATTGTTAATCAGTACTTGTCTACGACGTTGTTCTTTCATTTCAATAAGTAAACGTGCCATCTTCCTTAATGCTGCACAAAATGATACCCAAATAACAATGGAAAGTAGGACAAGAAAGACTATCATGCTGATTAGGAGCACATTATGTGCTTCAGCTTTATCATCCATTAGTTCCTGTTGGATAAAAAAATATAATAAAAGTTTCCTTTATTTTATGTTATTATTTATTAAAACTAGTTTATTTAGAGACAGAATGTGCTATTGTCAGAAACGAACAACTGAACGGAAATGGAAATGAAAGAAGGGAGTTTCACATGTTTTATATGTTCAAAATTCCATTTGGCTGGAATATGTGTTCAAAAGAAGAAAATTCAGGATAGTGGTTTGAGAGAGAAGAAGAAAAAAAAATTAACTTGTTCTCAGAAAATTAGATGGTGTCAATGGCATGTACACGAAGAAGCTCAACATGTATATGTGCTCACAAAAATACTGGTTAGTCTTTCCGAACGTAGCATCTCAAAGTTCAATAGAATTTCAGAGTGAAATGGGTTTTTCTATCCTTTTCTTTGAGGAAAAATAATTTATTTTTCGTTTTATATATGGGGGGTGGTCAAGAAAGAGGAGAAGAATTGATATGGTATGCAAATGACATAAAAGGAAGTTTATATTACAATCAGATGATTGTTTGAAGTCGTTAGCATCATGGGAGTCAATAGCTAATTGGTTTCAGTTAGCGGGTTGTATGACTTATCTAGTGTATTATAAGGAAACAAACTTCATCTCTAATGACATTTGAAACTTCTTTAATACATTTTGGAAAAACTATTTGGAAGTAAAATGAACACCCAGCTGATGGTTATAGAAGAGAAAGAGAGAAAATGAAAGAGAGAGTAATAGAGAGAGAGAGAGAGAGAGAGAGAGAGAGAGAGAAATGAAGTAGAAAAAATTATATTTAAAAAGAAAATTAAATTTATAATAAAAAGTAGAATAGGAGGGGTTTTGAAGAAAGAGAGAGTTAGAAACGACTACATGCCACTCCAACTTAATAGCGGAAAGTTGGAATTGATTCAAGTTAACTGATAAATTGTGCGAGAGCAAAGGGGGCAAACTGGCTCACGTGGTAGAAAACATGTCAAATTTTAAGCTAGTTCTTAGACTTGAAGATCCAGATTTTAAGATTCACGCACAACTTCTTCTTCTTTACATCTTCATTCTCTTTGCTTTCTGCATTTCGAACAGTTTGCTGCATTTTCATGTGTGTATTTTTTTATTTATTTTATCTTTTCTCTACCATTTCTCTTCAGAGAAAATTTCGGCAAGTAAACAAAAAAAAAGATGAAAAAAAAAAAAAGAACGGCAGTCGTAAGCATTGAAAAGAAGATAAGAATATAAGAAAGGCACACACCATACGTATGCGCGATCTTCAGCAAACATTGAGAAACGTCAGTTCTAATAGTGTATAAAACAGTCTTAAGAACACGTACGAGACAAAGTTTGCACAACCTTCTTACAATCAATTTTCATGCTGGAGTTTGAGCTTTCTTTCTCTTTCTCTCTCTCTTGTGCATCCATCAGCGATATGATTGAGGCGATTGTTTCTTCTGACGACATATTATGAAATAAACTCAATTTAAAGAAAATTTTTCTTCTTCCTCATCTTTTTTTTTCTCTTCTCCATCACATACAACTGCTTAAAGCTTGAACAAATAGATGAGAAGCTTGTTGAAAATACAAATATAGTTCAATTTAGGAAATGGGGATGATAAAATGGTGATAAAAACATTTAGAAGTCGTTCTTATTGAGTGTGATCAACATATTCAAGCGATTGGTGGAATAACAAACACTTTTCTCGAATGAATACCGAATACATCGTTCTGATTGAGAATGGAGGCTTACAACGTTACATATAAACCGTTCCAGCGTTCAGACGACTTTTTCGAGGGAACTCTCATGAATTGGTGATCGATGGATATGGTTATCAAATTTCAGATGAGAAAGATGCTTGGAAGAGTGTTCTCTTTGAAGAAATGATTAAAAAACAAAAAAAGGATGAATACTCTCTGAGATCCAGTTTTATTACAAATATTCCAAATATTTATAGATGTTTATACAACTACAATGTAATGTATCATTTTGCATCAATTATGGGGGAGAGGAGGTTTCACATTAAATTAGACCAAGCCAGCGCCACAGGTCAACATTGGAAGAACCATTGCAGTTCTGAAAGATGTTAGAAGCATTACTCCCGTGTCATCTTCTGATGATCTATTTACCTATCCTTTTTACTTGGAATGTCATGAACCATCTTCATTGGAAGAGTTCCGGAATAATCTTCTTGGTTAACAAGTGTTGTAACTTTACCGTCATCAACATTTCGTCGGAAAAGCTGAAAACAAGGAATATGAAGGTTAGAACGGTTATCAGTAATTACATCAAGAAGTTCTGGTTCCCCTGTTTCAATTATGTAATGTACAATGGTTCTTCCGTTGTAATCCTGTAATTAAACCGTTTAAGCTATTACGTTAACTACTAGATGTCTTACAGTAATCGTTGGATCAGCATTATTAGTAAGCAAGAACTTAATTATTTCTGAGTTATCAAGACGACTGTTTGATTCCTCATCAATTGCGCCGTGGCTTCGGATGGCGCAGAGTAAAGCGGTTTGACCTCTAGCATTCACTGCATTTAAATCAATGCTTGGGTATTTACATAAACTCTGGAATTTCAGAATCGTTTTCAATTTCGAATTGATTACCAACCTCAACAATATCCAGTTTGCCTCGTGAAGCGGCGTTATGTAATGGAGCATCCTGGTCTCCACGGTAACTCCGGATGTTACAATCAACTCCAAGTTCCAACAAATAATCCGTAATCTGGATAGAACTCCATTTGAAAGTTTTCTGATCATCAACTCACGTAGCTGTTTCCACGAATAACAGCGACAAAGAATGGAGTCTCATTGTCCTTGTTAGGCTTGTCGTACTGCCTGCTGTTTCTTCCAGCATCATGTTTGATAAGATGCTCTATCAGAGCATATATTTTTGGAATGTCTTGCTGGTTAACAAGAATATGAAGAAGCGTATCACCATCAGCATCTCCTCGATTATCATAGATCATCTAGAAGGGCAAGTTATAAGGTTTCTGTAAGGGTTTCCCTACCGACTGGTTTACAAGTGCCCAAGCCCATGCTTTTTCAAACTCATCTTCAGGAATTATATTTCGTAGAGCCATTCTAGCCATTCGGCCATCAGATTTTGGAGTATTAGAGCGATACACTGTTGATCCAGGAGTTGTAGGACCACTGCAACTTGCTTTACTTATATTTAACTTTAGTTGCGAACAAACCTTTGACATCCCATTGGACCATCTGGACTCTCATTGTAAGCTGAGTTATTGGAGTTCGGTCGTTCATTATCTGTGTCTATAAACAGAGGTTGGGTGCTATACTCTATTAATTGAATTACGTGAAAATTTCAGAATGAAGTCGGCCAATCGGTCTGGAAGTTCCTTACAATTAAGCAATCGATCAATGTCTGAAAGAAGTTTCTAAGTTTGTACCGAAAAGGTATGTTTACCTTGTGTGATACTTATATTCTGATCTTGACAATGTTTTCCAGGTGAAGTTAATACTGGTGATGATGAAGAATATCCTTGGTCAGAAATCATTGTATCAGGCGTGGAGGATTGCGATAGGCAACTGTAAAAAACGTGAGTTTACGTTTCAATTAGTGTGTTACCCAATCTGGTCAGGAGAGTCTCCCCATGTAATTCCGCATTCGTAACCACCTCCATAGTTGGAGAAAGCTGTATAGTCTTGAACAGTACTGAGAGCAGCAGCTCCATATTGTAGTTCGCCTACAAAGAGATTAGGTTAAGCTTCATCGTTCATCTTTGATCTCTACCAGTAGCATAAGGATGATGATGAGATCCCCAGTTTCGTGCATTACGTACTGGTCCACGTGAAAGGAGCTCGCCTTCCTTCTCTTCATTTTCAGTGTCATTAGCACTGTTTGTAGCATCATCCTTGTTGTTCGCTAGCTCCTCAGAGATTGTATCTTTCTGGTGCTCCTTATTCTCATGATTATCCGGATTTTCACTTTTCTCAGATTGTTTTTTGTCTCTCTCCACTGTCTTCTCATTATCCTGCTTGGCATTCTCTGATTTTTTGGCTGCGACAATAGAGTCTCCTTCGAGCGAAGTTTTCTTCTCACCAACGACTGATCCCTTCTGAAAAAATAATCATTTGATAGAGAATAACAAAACAGACATCATATCACGATGCTCATGAATTATGAAATACCTCAGATGCTGAGTCTGCATCGGAGATTACGCAATCTCTGTTTAACAGATCGCTTAGTAATGTATCGGCAAAGCGAGAAAATTTCATTGTGGTATTTGGCCGACGAGCCAATGCGGAACATCGAATGCTTTGAAGACTCACAAAGTCGGATGGACTTACTGGTGCTGCCTTAAGGTACAATGAATGCTTAATAAGTTGAAGAAAAAGAAAAAAAATACATCAGCAACAACAGCTTCGTTGTTAATTCGAATTTGCTCAAAGAGTGCAATCATATCATCTTCTTCCTCTCCAGGTGCACTTCGTTGTAACATTATTGGCTTCGGTTTCATACTCTTCATTTTCTATAATCATTAATGTTATTCAAGATAGCTAATGTTAAAGATATGAATGAGCAATTGAGTACAAAGAACGATAATGAAAATGAAATTGCAACATCCTAATTGGCAACATTTATGCGCAACAACGGAATTGGTTAATAGCGGCCCTTCTTCTAATAGCAAAATTTGGTTTGTGTCAGTGAATTTAACGACTCAAACAACTTTACCTATCTGCGCATCCATATGAGTAATACTCTCTAGCTCATTTGCTCAATAAACATCATCAATTGACTGGCAGAAAAATAGGAAAAGTCAACATTAAAAACAGATAAAGGAGTGGGCAGGCTTATTGCATTGATTGCCTCGTGACGTGATGGCGCCGTCAGCAATAGTCGCATGACAGACACGCAGAGAAGCATAGAATCAGATGCGATGCTCTATCTTATTTCGCAACAGAGAAAAAAAAAGTGAAGTTTTGCGCTGCTAACATCGAGAAAAAGCTTGAGGAATTGTGAAAAGACATTTTGAAAGAAAGAAAGAAGTGAGAGAGAATGCGAAAAAAAAAGAAAAAGAAAAGTTGAAACCAAAAACTAAGTATAAGCTGAATTGAACAGAATATACTTTGAATAATAAAGAATATAGAATTATAATGTTCCGTATGAGAAGACTATTATGACAAAACAGACGAAATGAAGATGATGAAGCTGATGAGAGAGAGAAAATGAGAAAAAAAAAAGAAAATTTCGTTTTTCATTCGTCGTCTTCACTCTACGTCTCACACAGAAGGATGTTGAACAAAATAGAAATGTAACGAAATGATGTTGCGAATGTTACATTTTGTAAAATGAAATTGGTGAACGTTATAATTTACGAATAGTTATTTAACATTTATGTTGTTTCCCATTGATGTTCGTTGGTTGGTTGTTTCTCAACTCCAAGATACCAAAGAACAATCATCAATATGTTGGGAGAGAAGGCAAAGGAGAGGGGGGGGAAGCAACATTTTTGTTAAAGTTAAACATGAAAGATGAAGATGTCGAGACAGACTTGGTATTCTTCATTCTAACATTGAATTTGTATGAATTCTGATGTGAATGAGATGAATAAAAAGAAATGAAAAAAGAAAAATGGTAATGAAAGGAGACGAATTACGAATATATATATTCATGATGTGGGCGAGCTCAAGTGGTTAGAAAGATCTTTGGATATCCAACTTAGCAATTTTCAACGAATTCTCTTGAAAATGCTTTTTGGATGGATTAATTGAAAAATTGGCAAGACACCTGCCGTAGTTAGAATGTGAATATGATATAGAGAGATGTATGAATTGAGATTTTGAGATCAAATCATATGTTTCTAAACGGAAAGCTAAATGGAAAGAAATTGTTTGTCCGGCATGACACACAGAGAGGAAGGAAGAGAGAGAAAAGAAGAGAGAAAGAGGGTGATAGAGAGAAGTAGAAAGAAAAATTGAAAATGAAAAGAGTATTGCACTATGAGAAACACGTATACTTAATTCTCGGAAACGGCGTCCGTCATCACTGAAAGACTGGTTCACTGATGAGTTTACACAAAATTTTAGTTCCGGGTTGAATAATAGAATCAAGATAAGGTCATGGATAAACAAATCAAAGTTGATGTTCTTTCACTCCGCTTTTTTTTTATGTGTGTGTGATCATCACCTCAAGATAAGACAGCATTTCATTTTACCATATGGAACGGTATCGCTAACCTGACTGGTGAATGAAGAAAATTTTTGTTTTCCAAAATTTTTATAAAAAATATCATATGATGAAAATCTATTTTGATATTCGAAAAAGGAAGAAAAGAAAGAAAAAAAAAGAGAAAAAGAGATACATTGTATGTGAGTTGATGCTGAAGGAAAATAGAAACAACATTACGTAACGGACTACATTCTAATAACTCATAATGACATTATGTGTGTATCATAGTTAAAACAAAACTTTTCAGCAGCAATGTCTGTGTGGACATAAAATAACAAAATGAAAAGCCAAACTGGCAAGCAAATAAAAAGTTTTTTGAAAATGCGCAAAAAATCGGAAAGAAATCAAACATTGGAAAGAAGGTTTCAATGAAACACAGATCGCTATTGAAAGGCACGGCTATCATGGAGTGAGTGTGAGAGAGAGAAGAAAAAAAATTGATGAATGCGGAGTAAGGAAAGAAAGACAAGCAGAGAAGCTCACTTAGAGGGGGAAAAAAGGCAGCGATCTCAAATGTTATAAAGATATTGATTGAAAAAAGGAAAAAACGAACTCAGTCAGGCAGATGAAATTATGTTGAATAATGGAAAAAAGCTTCAAATTCACAACCACTATCTATAAAAGAATGATGGGAGGAGTGGAGAGAGAGGAAGAAGAGGGCAAAAAGGGAGAAGCAGTTTCAAAATGAAGAAAAAAAAAGAATGAAAAGAAAAAAGAAACAGATGTAAATGGCAGGGCAAGTATTGAAAGAGAATAACGAAAAGTGCACAATAGGGGAGAAGCATTACTCTTTCCCTCTCTCTGGGAAAGAACATTTGAATAACCAGTGAAGCATAGCCACAGTGAAACAAAATGAAAGCTAGCGCTTACACTAACAGTTTTCTTTCCAAAAATGACTCAAAAATAAGAGAGAAAAGGAAAAAAATGCAAGTTCAGTTCAGTTCAAAGACAGAGTTTGTTATTGAATTCCTTCGCCCAACATTCAAGTACACAATCATAATGATAGTTAGACGGTAGAAAATCAAGTTCCTTTATTCATCTTTTTTTCAGTTAAAAGGTTTCGAAAGAAAGAACATCAAACATCAGAGGAAGAGTTTTCCTTGAGGGTTTTCAAGGAAACAGAACGTTCATAGTTGTATCCAAACTGAATTGACAAAGCTTTTTTCTTCAAAAAGAAAGCTTTTTATAAATGTTTTGCTCGGTAGTAAACAAACTTAATACAATGGGTATGAACATGATACAAGTAACTAGCATTTTGAAAAATATAATGATTTATAGATACACAACAAGTCATGACATACACTTCTTTATCTATCGTCAACCGGAAGACTGCCGATTCAGCAGAACCATATAGAAGATGATATTTCTTCTTTCATTCTTAGGAAAAACATTAGCTGAGATAAATTAGTCACTAATGAAGGGTGGACGTTTTATTTATTCATAGAATAAGTCCAATTAGGCAAATTATAATTTTAGGAGAAGAAG